GTTCGCTAGCACACATAAAAATACAGAGTTTTTTGGGGGGATATTGATATCCCCAACAAATACATATCGCCGAACAAGGGGAGCCTCACGCAACACCATTAGTCCACCGTAGTTGCTCTTGCTTATTAGCGATGCCTCATCATCTGATTCTGAAGCGGATCCAGGAAATCAATTGGACATTCTTATCCGACATCAGCGCACTCACCCATATAATCTATGCAACAGAGAGACGTAAACGACTCCACGTAACTATTACAGCATTTTATTTTTTTTACGCTTCGAAAAGTACACACTTATTTCAAGGCGGAGAGAATGTCATGACTATATAAACCATACTTTGCACAGACAATTAACTCGTAATTCTCACTCTACATCTTCAGCTCATGTATTACCATAATTAGACGAATAAAGTGTACATTACGCCCTTCTAATCTCGTCCTGGAACTACTCGACTCTCCAAACAGTGTCAACATTGCTATCTGATGGTGATGATGATGCCTGAGGATGCATAATGTCTCACCATCCACCGAGAAGAGTGGCGCTTTTCAGGTCTAATTCGGAGGACTGAAGATCTAGGTTTGAGCAAAGTACGACCTGACTGAAAGGAATAAAGGTGCTGTTGGTCTACCAGGATGGAGCTCACTTAACCCTTCTGCATGTGACTGGAGGTACTGTGCGATATAGCGACTAATCAGTGACGGTGGCATCCATAGCATCCCAACGGCTCGATGGAGATTACTTCCCTTAGGTGGCAAGAGCGTTGTAGAGCTATTCAAATTACCATTTATTTTCGGAAAGCATGGAAACAAACATAAAAAGTGAATGCAAGTGATGAAAGTGAAGGGGTTACAGGAGAATATGAGATAAAAGACAGAAATATCTCATTCGAAGTCATGCCACCAACATTTCCAGTCAGACAAGAGGAATTCCAACGTATGTAATAATTTTTGGTATGGAAACACGCGTGTAAAGACCAACAAGCAAGGAAAGGACAAGCGGTTGTGGTTGCTCTTCAAGGCGCGGTAAGTGCCAGCACAGTCAAGCCTCGCGCATCAGGCACAAAGTACCTGTCATACTGGGTCTGCTTCTGATTCTTCTCATTCCACACAGTTAATACGCGCCCATCCGAGACTATGCTGACGCCTGTCACAGTGGGTCGGCGCTCCCGAACAACGATTAGGTCAGGCTTGATGAAGGAAGTCGAAGTAGGTACTCTCAACTCCTCGAAGACGATGTATCCCAGGCGACCTTTTGCGAGTTCCCTTGCAACCCGATTATGATGAGCACAACTAGCGTCATGTGTGATCCAGCAGAACTGTAAAATATGCACCAAACTTTCCGGTTGACCACGGTTTTCACGACAGAAAATCGTCTGACCACCATGACCTGGCCGAGCGTTTATAACTCTTGTCCTGAGCAGGTTGCATCGGAGCTGGATATCTCGGATAAATATCCGAGGAAACACTCGTTCTGGAAATACGAGCCATCGATTGGAAAGAGGCGAAGCGACCAACTTTCGTAAACCGCGGCTGTCAACGTTGCTGTGCAGACTATCGCTCCAAGCAGCCACCAACTCTTCCTTGGTGTTTACGCATGCACCATGGACTCGGATCGGAAGGCTAAGATCCCGAACAATCTTGCCAAATCGGAATCGCGTAGTACTCGGCATTGAGTAGAAAGATACTTTTCTATACGCGCTCTCCGATGCATCGGGATTGTTGCACTCAGACTTGGGATACCAAGCCCTCGATGTTGTTTACCGGCGTGGATGTAGCTGTCGAGGTGTCCTTCGGTAGACATAGCCAGCCACGAATAGATTTAGTTCAACCTTTTGAGCGTGTTTCGGTGGACTTGGCCGTGCACGAGCGAATACGTCAGCCTCGATATCAGGTAGTTCCTCGTGATGTCCATTCTTTCATACGGCTTCAATGGAGCACGCGCCACCTCATTGAGCAGTTTAAGCAGATGCTGTCGGTACTTGAAGACCCATTTCCACTGGAAAGTAAAGGGAATGACCGAATATGTTATGGTGTCTGTCGGACAAAGAGGAGTGATGAATTCCTTGGCGAAGCACAATGATTCGACTGATACTGCTGTCGTCCGATGTCTCCTGTCCCCATAGATCACCATCGCTTTCGTCTTTCGGGTGTTTATCTTCGTGCCAGCTCTTCCCAGCTCGACCGCAACAGCTTCAAGCTTCTCTTTAAGGCAAGTCTGACATTCTGCACACACGATCCAGTCGTCAGCGAAGGCGAAACCATTTACTAGTGTCATGGAACAGGTAGCCCGGTTGCGGCATCGACAATTTCAGAACCTTATCCATTGCGTTGATGAACAATAATGGGGAGAGTGGATCTCCTTGCCTCACCCCTCTGTGGCAGTGAAGCTCGGAGTTGGGGATAACTGCTACAGCATTCTCATTGGACTGTGCGATGAGGTGACGGAGCTCCAAACACCTCGGCAGATCTGACGATTGTGTCATGCGAAACCGAATGAAATACTTCGAGATATCAACAAACGCCAATTAGAAGTAGTCGCTGAAGAGTGATGAAGCAGGGTATGTAACTGCTTTGTAGCTTCCAAACAACTGTCTCGATGTAGAAATGCAAACTGGAGTGAGAGCATTCGCAGTCTACGACTAGTGCGACCAGCAAGCACCCTACGAAAGCATCGGACAAGAATGGATGACACGGCGATCGGTCTCAGCTGATCCGAGGAAGTCGGGCAATGTGTAACCTAGACGGCACTCAATCTGACCCAGAGTATACAAAAAATTAAAAAAAATTGTTCAGTTGTAGCACCCTTCCGGTGCCCAACTGCCATGCTACTCGAAGGAAGCACGAGGGCTGGGATACTGCCAGGGTGCTCAATCCTAGACTGGGGAAGTCGAGAGGCGGAGGTCGGGTTCGAACCACGGACCTTCCGGTCAGTAAAATTCGCGCTCTAACCACTTAGGCCATCTCGCCCCGACGCAGAGTATACACCAATCGATCGTTCTGACTCACAGTAATATGCGGTTTTGACTCTTGCCCCATAAGTACACTTAGATACTTGGAATCATTCCGTGATGGGACAACTCGCTGAAAACGCATCTGTGTGACCGTTTCCGCTGTCCAATGAGACCATGAAGTTGAACTAGGATGACTCGATCCATTTAGTGGTCCCATTGTCGAAGTGATCTGATGAGACTTCGTTCCCTGACTTAAAAACTATCATCATGTATATCTTTGTAATGTACTACTCATACGGTTGCTGAAAATCCTGAGAACACCATAAACGAGAGATTCAGCTGGGTTCCAGGTGAGTCTCTCGAAAAAAAAACAAATTAGTTTGCAAATGAATGTATATTTGCTATCATCATGTAGTTCGCCTTCTCAAAATTTAGCGCTCTCGGGTCATCATTCCTGGTCAATGATTATCTGCAGAACCCATGATCATCTACTTGCAACTTATCTAACTAGTCGGTGAGTAAACCCAAACCTTATAGGAATCTGATGGTAATGTAAGTTTGCTTGCTAAAGTAGGGTTAGGTGGCACCGTGGAGAAAACTGCAGTAAACCCGACGGGAACAACTGACAGGAAACGTTGAATGCGCATGAAAATGTTTTTATGCGAACATGCAAGTCCTATGGCGTAAAATGGTTACAAAAGATCCCAGTGGACCATTTAAATAACCTGGGTGTGAGGTTGTCCAGGCCTGGGGACGAATTAACAGTTAGACGGGTAGTACGACCGACTTCCTTTCCTGCAATTGGCTCGATCAAGCTCCAATCCGATGGTACTACTACGCGACTTGGCCGGCTATCCTCATGTTTTGGGGCTGATAGTACCCGTTTCCAAGACTGCTCGGCGTCCAGGAAGTTATCTTTGTATATATCCTTCTGTGACCCATCGGGCACAGCAGACGCTGAATTTTTCCGTCTTTATTGGCATAGGGTCTGGATGACGGTGAAGTTGGCTCGACGGATCTGCTTTCGGTTGACCGGAATCTTATGGGCTAACTGACGACGGCGTCGGGATGCAATTTTCCAGGTGTGTGGAAATGTCCTGAAGGCGTGGAGGTCCAGAAGCGACAGGACTTGCTCCGGTGCCATGATGCTAGACTGCAACCCTCGGACAAATGTCAGAAGGTCAACACTAGCAAGCGAACTGTCAGCATGACACGACGTAATTCACGGTTCGTTTAAACCAGACCATTTACCCATTGGTTTCTGACGAGTAGGCCGCTATTTGACCGATAGTTTGGTCAGGGCCACCAGAAGATGATTCATCCTGTTATGCTCGCCAGTCAAGCACTCTTAACCTGGTTGTGATGCTGATAGTCGATAGGCCAGGAAAATACCGCTCCAATCCCGCGAACAGCGCGGTTTGCGTTCCACAAGACGGATATAAATCGTTAGCCAGGTGCAAGAGCGATTGTGATTTGTTGGGACCAGTGGGTACTGGAATACTTCACTCGGTCAAGCTTATCTTCATTATGTTGGGCGGGGTGTGCGTGCCGGCGATGTTGACTTCGGCCAATCTTCGTCGGAAAAAGGCGGGAACAATCAGCGCAGGCCAATTGGGCAACCATGTTCGTACCAACACTTTCATTATCGTGAACTCGATGGTGGGTTACCAAGCCAGCTTTCGATTTGCACTACCTACCACACTTCTCACATGTGAGCCTCACGAGTCTCTCCTGTGTACTGGTTGGAACTGGTGCGGAGGCGCCAGATGTTTCGTGGTGTACATTGACGGAAGTAACCAGCACATTGAAACCAAACAGGGTGGTTAGTCCTGTCTGGAGTTGCTGAACTCTTAACTCGCCCAGGTTGGCGTTCAGGCTACCCAATCGACACCACGAGGATGTGGCTCAGCTCGCTGCAGAGTTTTGACCTCTGGTGAGTAGTTTGAACAATTAACCGCTCGGTCAGGAGCTTCTGCCCAGCATCATGATTGACTTGCACTCTGATAGGATTGCCGTAGATTGGCTTCACTTACGGGACGGTATCTCCATAGAAGTTCTGAAATCGTACACTACAAACAATATATCCAGATTGTCTGACTGAGTGATGAAGGTGTAGGTACCTGCGGTATTTACAGTAAGTTAGCGCTAGATGATTCTCCCTGCACCAGTTTACTTCTTTCCACTTCGTTCAGATAAATTGACATGGCTGAATGAGTGGTGTTGTTCGTTGGTGTCCCTCCTAATGGTGATGATGTTGATAAACACAACCTTGAATTTTTTGGGGGACAATCAGCGGAGTCCGTCACTAAAAGTAGAGTTTGTCGGGACCGCTGTTTATTGTCTTCGCTGTTCGACTACGTGATCGGAATGTTAATCGAAACCCCTTTATTCTGTACTACCCAGGTGCAAACACTTACTCCTGGGGCATTAGGTGTGCGGACGACATAACGCTACTTGGTTCAAATCTCACCTGGATGAACAGCATACCAAACAGAATGATGTTGCCGTTAGGTTTGATATAGACTTCGCATCCTCAAAGTAGATGCTATTTCATGACTAACCGAGTACTGCAGCGAGACTGGCTGCTGCATCAGAAATATTATATATAGCGGAATAATTCACTTAAATTGATACATGCGTCACATCGAATTGCGGGGCCGCTGTAGAATACCAGAGTCACCAAAGCCTGTCCTACTTTCACTACATATTCATTTGCAAATTAATTAAATACCGATGACAGGCGCGGCTGAACTTGTCTTTTGTGATAAGCTTCAGCTGAATGCCCTGCACGGAGGCCGCCGTCTGTTTCAGTTGAAACGATATTTAAGATACCGAGGTGTTTCAATATTAATCATAAGGTTGATGAAAACTCGACTACCCACTACCAGTTTGGCTATTTGTGGGGCTCCTCAGGTATGTGTGCTCCTCAAATTTCAATCATGTTTATTTCCTAATTGAAAGCCGATTTTTACTCACGTTGCGACGGATACGCCTGTAACTTAAATGGGTTTTAACAGGAGGCCGAACTGAAATCCATTTGAGTATCCTTTTCGCTCGTATGCTTTGCTCTATGCACCGAATGATGCTTGTGGCACCACGCGACGGCTAAAGTGACAAGGAGTTACCTGAGTTGAGATATGGGCGGTCTCGTCCCCTCCACCCAAGACTACGTAACACCAACCGAACCTACTGTTGAGGCAACATAGTTTCTTGACAGCTATACGGAAAATATGAGAGTGGTGCTTGGAGGAAGGAATTCGGTTGTTCACAACACCAGATTCCGAAGTACGGGATGAACCATCCTACTTATTATTGCGTTTCAAGAGGAACCCGAATGTGTTCGTTTGCTTTTAAGAGTGTTCTCAACTTCTCTGAATCCTGATCAGGCGATAACAGCTGCAATTAGGAAGTGCAAAACTCGCGATTCCTCCCTCTTGAGAGGCATCTGCAAACTATCTTTGTGGTATTTAAGATGCTTTTCTTATTGCGAGGTACAATTGTAATAGCTTTTGGTGGCTCGAAACTTTTCTATCAATCAGGAGTCACGTACGCTTGCTCATTTGACACAGAAAAAGCTCAAACAGCTAAATCGCACATCCGTAGACTCAAGGAAAGCATGGATGGTCAGCAAAAACAAACAGGTCAATTGTGTGACAGAACCGCAACTAGAGAGCTCACCGCTGGAAACATCGAATACCAGTAACAACACGGTTCGTAACTTCGACGAGGTCGATTCTAGGAATCTCAACGCAACCTAGATTATCGAATACCCAACATAAAGGGCTACTCAAGTTGCCGTCAGCTTTGGTTGTCAGCATTCTGTTGAAAAACCAGGAATCCGACATACTCAGGAATGCTCGTTGAAAACTGAATGTAGTCGCTTTCACCTTATGCTGCTGTACTTTCGTTAGTTGCCTCCGATAGTGGAAGTTCCCTTCTAATGTATATCGTATCCTAATTGAAAAATATAATTTATTTCAGATTGTTTGGGTTCTGTAGTTGGGGTTTTATAATGGGATGGCGGGGCCTCCGAGCTCTGCTGTTCGATGTAACTCGTTACTACAGTCGGAGTCCCTGGTTTCCTCCGACTATGATTTCCTTCGTTGCTGGAGCGTCATACATGGTCTACATGAAGTACAAAATACCTGGTATTGCTCTTATGCAGAAGGTGAGTGATATTATTGCCCCTTATTCTGATAGAAAACGGTGACATCTGGTTATGAAAAACGTTTTCGTAGCTTTGCTTCTGTGAAATACAACGGCGTATTGTTCATGACTCCGAAGGACTTCCTGGAATCCATAGTCAGAGATTACCCGGAAAGTGAGTGGATTCTGATTCGTTTAAGCGTTCTGTAGGCTTGAAAGTTACCCGATTGTCTGAACAGGACGTTGAGTCACTTTTGCGTAAAACGCCACCGAAATCGAAAAGTTCGATAAAATTGTTTCGTGACTTGGGGAGCAACGGACTAATTTCATTCACGGAGTATTTATTTCTTCAACAGATACTTACAAGTATGTCTCTGTTGTGCAACCGTTCGACACGGCAGAACCCCATTCTTGCTTTGAACTCGCCTTCAAAATGTTAGATACTGATAGAAGTGGAGCTATTGACGCAAATGAGTTCTCAACAGTATGTTTCCTTGTTCTATGTTGGTAACCCGTTAAGCTGAACAGTGTCCTTGCTCGATCACAGTCCTTGAGTGCTGTGGAGGATGAAAACACGGACCTCGTATTTGTAAGTTTTCTTTTTCCATTTCGTAGTCTATACCTATTCAGCCCGATTCAGACAAGGCTCAGCTGGGAACAACCTTAATGCGGCACCTGTTTAATAAAAATAAGGAGGCACTTCTGACATTGAACGAATTCATTCGGTATGCTTTCTAAGCACTCACACCCACCTCAGCTTTACACACAATATACAAACGGAGTTATTGGATGTTGAATTCCAGAGTCGAGCAATCCACGCAGATAAGATTTCCGCGACGGATTTTGCTCGAATTTTGTTACGGTATACTACCCTTTCAGTAGAAGAGCATGACGGATTTATTCAACGTCTGAATTCCCGCCTTAAGCACCGTGAAGTAATTGTCGAATAAAAACACAATCCCACTCACTTAAAGACAATTACTTTCCAAGAATTCCAAAAGTTTTTCAATTTCCTCAACTCACTTGATGACTTCTCGATGGCAATGAAAATGTACACGCTGGCCGACAGACCCGTTTCGTTACGTAAGTGCTACTTCGATTTTGCAAACAGTCTTAATTTTAGCTGAATTTAATCGAGCGGTCAAAGCATGTACTGGTTCTGCACTAGACGCACCTACTTTGCGCGTGGTCTTTGAACTTTTCGATACGGATGGAGACGGTTGCTTGAGTTATCAGGAATTCATACAAATTATGCGAGAACGCAAATCCCGTGGTCTGGATGTGAGTAAGCCATTGTGCTATTCCGTACCCACCATTTAATTTGTGGTAGTTGTTTAATTTGTTTCCCAATTAGAAACACCGTCTCCGGGATCGGCGTTACTTTGCCTACCAGTACAGTGAACGAGTAACTTAACTTTTGACTTTCAGCCCTCAAAATGGTACCGTATTCATACGATGCTTTGAAATTTTGTTGGGCATGTTTTGCAAAATAGATACAGTCACCCTATTTTCAAATAGACCACTTGGAGCGTTTTTTCAAGAGATACGTCTCGGTAACTAACCTGTCCGGAGGGGGATAGCTGCATCCTAGATTTTCTCTTGAATTCAAAATATTAGGCTAACAGGGTAATATCATGACTATATAAACCATACCTTTCCATTGACCATTAACTCGTAATTCTCACTCTGTATTTTCAGCTCATGTACTACCGTTATTAGAAAATTAGAGCGTATATTACGCCCTTCAATTCTGTCTCCCTTCTAACCTCGTCCTGGAACTACTCGACTCTCGCAACAATTTAACCTCATAAAAAATGGATCATATTCTCCGACCTATGGATTTTGATGCTGATCCTCACTCATCAGGTGGCATGAAACGATGGACTCATTGGTTCGGTACCTTCAATGCTTACATTAACTCCATTAAACCTGAAGGTCTAAATAAATTGAAAACTCTCACACGTCACATTGACCATACAGTGTGTGACTTCATTGCAGAATGTAGCGACTACGAAAAAATATCGTGTATGCACGCCATCTTTTAGCTACATACAAACAAGGACCTGGTCAAGATCTCGACCAGTTCGTCCAAAAACCGAATTCACTTGTTAAAGACTGAGTTCAAAGTAGTATCTGCTCTGGAACATGCAAACGAAGCAGTTTGGGATGCCCTGATAACCGGACTGCAGTCGAATACCATTCGAGAGGAACTGCTAACGTGGCATGAATTTGACCTTGACAAAGCCCACGAAACCGCACGATTTATCAAACTTGCACAAACACAGTCAAAATCATACGTATACAGGCAACCCGTTACTTGTTCTCTGTCTACTCCTTTGTCCATTGTTAATTCCGAAACAACAGTTTCTGGCGCTATACAACAAACATGTTACTTTTGTGGGAACCCCAAGTACTCTCTCTATAAGTGTCCCGCTAATGAACCAGTGTGCAAGAGTTGTGGAAAAAATGGACATTTTCAACGCGTCTGTAGGTCCAAAGCCTCGAAATATCACGCGGGTTCAGCTCGAGACTCCTCAATCTCTTCACTATTTCGTCCTGGAACAACTCGACTCTCGCAACAGATAATTCCTGTTACTAAGTTTCTTTTCCCTCTCAAAAGTGGAAATAACGAAATGATAGAATAAAGGACGTACAACGCCTATCTATAATAAACCATCATCATCGGTGGCACACGGGTGTTTTTAGAGCGTAATTACGCCCTTCAATTCTGTCTCCCTTCTAACCTCGTCCTGGAACTACTCGACTCTCGCAACAATTTAACCTCATAAAAAATGGATCATATTCTCCGACCTATGGATTTTGATGCTGATCCTCACTCATCAGGTGGCATGAAACGATGGACTCATTGGTTCGGTACCTTCAATGCTTACATTAACTCCATTAAACCTGAAGGTCTAAATAAATTGAAAACTCTCACACGTCACATTGACCATACAGTGTGTGACTTCATTGCAGAATGTAGCGACTACGAAAAAATATCGTGTATGCACGCCATCTTTTAGCTACATACAAACAAGGACCTGGTCAAGATCTCGACCAGTTCGTCCAAAAACCGAATTCACTTGTTAAAGACTGAGTTCAAAGTAGTATCTGCTGTGGAACATGCAAACGAAGCAGTTTGGGATGCCCTGACAACCGGACTGCAGTCGAATACCATTCGAGAGGAACTGCTAACGTGGCATGAATTTGACCTTGACAAAGCCCACGAAACCGCACGATTTATCAAACTTGCACAAACACAGTCAAAATCATACGTATACAGGCAACCCGTTACTTGTTCTCTGTCTACTCCTTTGTCCATTGTTAATTCCGAAACAACAGTTTCTGGCGCTATACAACAAACATGTTACTTTTGTGGGAACCCCAAGTACTCTCTCTATAAGTGTCCCGCTAATGAACCAGTGTGCAAGAGTTGTGGAAAAAATGGACATTTTCAACGCGTCTGTAGGTCCAAAGCCTCGAAATATCACGCGGGTTCAGCTCGAGACTCCTCAATCTCTTCACTATTTCGTCCTGGAACAACTCGACTCTCGCAACAGATAATTCCTGTTACTAAGTTTCTTTTCCCTCTCAAAAGTGGAAATAACGAAATGATAGAATAAAGGACGTACAACGCCTATCTATAATAAACCATCATCATCGGTGGCACACGGGTGTTTAACGCCGACGCTTCGCTACCGTACGGTTGCAAAAAAAAGCGATTCACACCGAAACCACCCCTCTAGTGTAGTTCTGTCAGCTTGAAAATATTCACTTTATCCCCAAGTATTGCCTTTCATCTGATCTGAGAAACTATCGCACCATTTCCATCACCCCTAATTTGTCCGAAGTTTTAGAATCTTTACCAAACGACTACGTTATCTAGAAGACAGCCTCTTGGCTGAATACCAGTGTGTAGTTAATTGCCAGCGCCGCATCAAAGTACATATCACACGTAGTCACCTGCGCTAGTCGGTCGGTGAAAGCGAATCGGCATGCCTCGATGTTTCGAGAGTTTGCGATCCGGTGTGAGATATTAACCTTATAGCCGGATGATCAATAAATCGATTATCTCCAGCTTTCGTGAAATTTATTAGAAAATTCCTGATAAAGTTCTTGACTGAAGTACGCGTCGGGTGCTTTCTCCTTGTCAAAGTTCCCACAAGTCCCGCTCTTCCCGTTGCATTGTTCTCCCTTGTTTGTGAACGGCTTCACCACGGCTTCGTAGATGTCGCTCATCACGTCTGAGGTGTATGTTTCTCGGCTTCATTTCGGCTCAGTGGTTACGGCGTACATGCCATCAGTATATTAAAGCCGATCGTATAGGCATTCGTGCTTGGGGCAGCTATATTCAATCCTTCTATGGTCCTACGTTTCACGCCATTTACTGATTATCGCCCAATCTTCCCGTTTTAAACAATTTCAACTGGTCCCCGCAAATTTAATTAATTGGAACCGGAGCCTCCAAAAAGTCCCGTTTCCGTTGTAAATTTCTCCCTCAAACTTCTACGGTACAAGTCATGGATCCTCCCCACTATGAAGTACCGTTGCCACATTTGTGCTAATCTCTTTTCTGCAAATTTTTCATTCATAGATAGTGTTCGATGAGACGCCGTGTGTTTCGCTGTCTTACCTTCTCTGATAGGTGATCTGCATCCGCCATCTTCCTCACGAATTTACCGCCACTACCAAGCCAAATTCTCTGCTAAATCCACCTTTCTTGTCCTACAATCTTTCAATCGCTGGTCCTGCCCGTATTCTTCAAGTCACCCTTGTCGAATTCCAACACCCTGTTATCGATAGCAACCATTTTTTCCTCATCCCTCCACAGCACCGCTTGTCAGTAGAGTTCTTTTCTACGTTCCGCTTGTTCATCGTCTCGGGTTAATACCCAAATGTACAAACCCCCGTTATATCCCACAACCATGCTTCATTCACACGTCTATTTGGGTGTTTTTCATCTCTCACTTGTTGTTTCATGTTTTTGACCGATTCAATCTCCATCGGTATCACAATGAGCTCTGGTCGTTGGTTCTCTTTTCCCTGGCAAATTTTACCTTTGAGTAGCAAAAAACAGACCCACAGTCTTTCATTCGCTGAGTTCTGAATATGCACTTTTTGCTGAAAAGTTTAAGAGAATGTATACAGGGACTGCTCAAGCAGCCGTGCTTGTAGAAATTTAGTGAGCTTGAACTTTGATGGTATAGTTTACGCAGACGTATGTGCTTGTTATACGACAAGTCCCGATATCTAGTCTTCCGCTGCTTTGCCACTAAATTGCTACGTACGCACGAAGTACAGCTTGACGTTCATACAAAGAAAGCCACTAAAATGTGCAATGAGTATCGAATAATATTGTGCCTTTCGTTCTCATTTTCCGCAGACTAGCTCTGAGGCTCCGACACGTGGGGACGCCTATCGACAATGCTTTGCGAAAGCACTCCGCGAATCAGCGGTCTAATTTTTTCCAGACACCCTGTTTTATCAAATAGTTAACCTTTTTCTATTTCATGTACCTTCCTCTGTGATACCCACTCGAACGACATGAGAACGAAAAATTTCCTCATTTTCTTTTAGTTTCTTTAATCTTTCTTATTGTTTATATGTTTTGGTACTTTTGAATCTCCTGCTCTAGATTGACTGCACGTATCGTAGGGCTTCGTGATAATATCTAGGGTCATTTTTGCTATATATCTGGGTTAGTATTTTGCTTACAGTAAAATTATATAATTTTTCTGGTTTTTCTGAAATTACATATTGAGCGGGTTCATTTCACGATCAAATGCCTTCATGCTGTACAGCCAACCTTATTTCGGTACGTCAAGTAGCTCGATAACTGCTCTTCGCTTCGCAATGTAACCGCAAATCTACATTATGTACCACTTGGTCGCCTTAAATAAACAAAGCTTCATGGTTCCAGTGGGGCTATAGTTTGACATTATTGTTTAAATCTACGTCAGTGACAGTAGATGAACACGAGTACGGCGGAACTTCTATGTTAGTGTTGTCCTGCGTGTGCAGACTTGCACACCTCTTTATTCTGGTTGTCCAAATTGTTATTTCTCTCGCCCGGGCCATTTGTGAAAGATGAACCTACGGGGTTACTAAGATGATCACATTAGTACTCAACAGCCCACTGAGGCCAGAAAGTAAAAATCCGGTCTTATATCTTTGCTCGATTGTAACGCCCTTGCAGTGCCTAGCTGCCATGCCACTCGAAGGAAGTACGGGGGCTGAAATACTGCCACGAGAAATGGAGATGCTGGGGTTAGGTCCGAACCACGGACATTCGGTTAGCAAGGTCGCACTGAGCTATCTCTAATGAAGCGATGTAACAGAAGACATTGAGGAAGGTGAAGCAGGGGCTTAAACCTGTGAAGGCTGAAGTGTCGAAAGGGAGTGCTGCGGATTATCGGCTTGCGGGAGTCTGATCTACCTGTTTGGATGTACAATTCTATGGAAAACACTGACTTCCAACGCACTACAGATGCCACCTCGAACATGGATATACTTCAAGATTGTCTCTAATAATAATGGTAATCGTTCAGCTGTAATATCCTTTCGGTGCCTACCTGGCATGCCACCCGAAGGAAGCACGAGGGCTAGGATACTGCCAGATTGCCCAAGTCTAGACAGGAGAAGTCGAGGGGCGGAGGTCGGCTTCGAACACGGAATTTCCGTTCAGTAAATTCGCGATCGAACCACTGAGCCATCTCGCCCCCAGGTTATCCATATTTTAATGTGTAAATCATATGTTGTTGAAGGCAGTTCGCTAAAGTGTTTCATCGTTACGGTCACTGTCGTCTGTTGACAAACTGATCGCGCCAGACAGTGCGTATAGTTAGGTTGCATTTCCTGCCTTCGCTTGTAAGCTTATGGGACCATGTACATTCAGCTTTAATTTGAACAGGACGATTGCTTAAAGGAAGAACAGGAACCAGGACGATTTGCACTCGAGTGAACCATTCGCAGTATTTTGTAGAACAGTTAACGATCCAAACCACTGACGATACACCCAAGAACAACAAGCCACGACGCCGTCAATAAACAAAAGCTGGTACAATCCTACGAAGATGGATTAAGGAGGGGGCATTCAGCAGCATAGAGCACTCAGACGAACAACATACGGAAGAGAAAAAATCCGGTTTGCTCTGCGTCGGATGCTTCTGTATACAGTTATAGCTGTAGAGTGGCATACCGATGTGACCGGGCTACCAAGCACAATCCATGGAGGGTATGTGCGATCGTCTGTTGGTTGAGCGGCACTTGATCTGTTCAGTGGGCCAGGCAGTTGCAAACATCTCGCCATCACAAGACGAGTGATCATCAGTGGACCACACTAACTCCGTACAAGACCTTTCCTACCGGATGCCTAGTCCCACAATAATTACAGGTTTCACTGGGAACTAAGTAGACCGTACACGATAGCCTCAAGTTCTGGGAATTCATAATCTCACAACATAAAAATAGGAAACACCTAATTCGCCTTCTGTTTAAGATTTTCGTTATCCATAGTCCGCTCCCACCGTACAACAGACAACCCATCAGATACCCGTGTAGAACACCCGTACGTAGATTTTGTCCAAGCTATCGGTGAAACTATGTGCTGAAGCGAAACATTTCGTCAGAAGCTCTTCTGTGGATGGTTGTACCAGCGATAAGACGATATAATGAGCACCGTGCAGTGGAATAAGATATAACGCATGGATCTTGGCACTAGCTTCCATCCCAAAAGACATTTTTAAGCCTCAGTAACACGATTCTGCAGGACTGGTTTTTGTATTCCCCATTTGCACACTATAGAACGCGAACTGTAGTGACATTTGGGACAACAATTCCTCTATTGTAGGCAATTTCCTCTCAAGGGGAAAATCCTCCTACTTACTGACTAAAAAAGTATTTGTAAGCAGAGTCGCGCAGTGGATAATCGGTCGGAACCTGAGTGACAATGTCACAGACCACGTACGCCCCTACTGGGGGTGATACCAGCGTTCAAGAATTGCAAGGTATCGGATTGGTTATGTGTGATCCTACTTATGTTCCCGTATTTTGAGAGTTTGAACAAGCCCATGGGTCAATTTTTCAGTACGCTGACGAGAACCGAGTCAGTTTCTCACAGGAATTCCGGTCAGTTGATCAACAACAAGATTCTGATAGTTCGAACAGGTGATATCGGAGACGTGACGGAGACATCGCACTTTACAATAACTTTGAGAAACAAATCTACTTCTACTCAGCCTGAAATTCTCGCTGTTGGCTGATTCGAAAACTACCGCTAGTCGGAGACCAGAACCATTCAAACCTACCACATAATACTGACCTTAACGAAGTGCCCTGTGATCAGGTTCTACTTATCTATAACTATAAGACTGGCGACAGTATGTAGCACAATAAATCTCGGATAAAACACAATAGCCACATAACAATCACCGGACAACCTAATCATGGAATAATGGTTGTCGATTGCTATCACAAAACTTGTCAGGATACCTATTTACGTTTATGGCAGACGCTTTCGCGTGGAAATGCCTAGGATTGGCTTTGGTCGTTAAAAATTAAGTGCAGGTAGGAAACCCCGAAAAACGTTAACCAAAAACATGAACTTGCATTAAAGTGAGATATATTTGGATAGCTAGTTGTCCGTTCCCGCGGACCAAGTCAAGGCTTTCTATAGGGCAACTTTCGATACATTCTAGTACACAAAAATTTGACATTTTCATCAACTTCTGGCAGGTACCCTGTGATTTGAGTTTCCTTTCTGCCCCACTGTGCGCACGCCAGATAAACATCCGGGGAATCATACTACACAGTCGATTGTGAAGCAACGATCCGGATCCCTTGGTGCAAGCTACGCAGATAATGACCGCTGAAACCAAGTGCCACCCAGCGTTTTGGATTCATGCAGCCGACCGTCAACCTCTTATATTTAACTAACACCGAGTCGACTGAATGCAACTGAAACAGCGACATTTGGCGTGTTCCCTACCATCAGAGGCTGCGCTAAGATCGGTAACACTACCAGAAAGCACAACAATGAATTTGTAGATCACTTCGCAAGCTAAGAACATATATGTTCGGATTACTAGGTCGTCCGTATGCTTTGTCTTTTCGTTCGTGTCCGGGCATCAGTTGTACCGCAGAAGGTTTGTTCAAAGAACTAGCCTAATTGCTATCCATTGTAAAGACCGAAAAGACCAAGGCATCAGCAACCAGTAAACACACCTCTGAGCTAGGCTGAAAACTATACAAATGATCGGTAAAGAAAATGAATGATGATGTCCTAAATCCGGATTAATCACGTGTGGATCGAGGACAATGGGTAAGAATGTACTATGGTCGATGGCACATTGCTAAGTAGAAAATGGATGAATCCTGCTGGAAGCAAGCAGTACTATGAAGATCTACGTATAAACGATACTGACACTACACCACTACCCTACTTTATAGAAAAAGAACTTGGAGCGTGTAAGCCAGTCGGAAATAAGCATCTGAGTTCAACCCTTGCACCAGGCGATTTTTGAGGATTTCGGTAATAAACTATATATGCATTGTAGGCTTCACCAATGGTTTAATTACGTTTGGTAGCTAGTGACTTTGAAGACTGGTGGCCCGTCACGAATCTCCTGAACATTCAATCCATCAATTAAGTACATTGAACCTTTGTCATTGTCTGGTAGTTTGTCAGCGGCGACAGTTCATCATCATAGACGATAATATACCAGTAGTGGGAATTGGCGCTTGACCGCCATCCAAGTTGCCCAGCTGTATCACCCTTCCGGTGCCTAGCTGTCATGCCACTCGAAGGAAGCACAAGGGCTGCCAGGTTGCCCAAGCCTAGGCAGGAGGAGTCGAGAGGCAGAGGTCGGCTTCGAACCACAGACGTTCCGGTCAGTAAAATCGAGCCATCTCGTCCCCAAACCGTCATTCAACCATGAAGACAGTGGTAAGCGCTGGAAAGAACAGGCGTCGGAATTTGTGTAAGAAAGCCCAATGTTTCTACGGGAAAACAGCCAACAGCGAGGTGCCTTCGTCTCCCAAAACCACTCACGTAACAGGAGCCAGGTGTCACCAGATTGATTGGCCTAACGTCCTGCACGGACCTCACCCGACAAAACTCTTGCAAAGTTTCCAACTGCGTGCAAGAACAGGTTGACCCTACTTAGAAAGTTGTGAGGATCCCGAGCGCCCAGTTAGGTATTAAATGCTTTCATTTTGCGTTGCCAGATCGTGCCCAACAAAGAGCTGGATAGGAAAACACGGTGTTCTAAGGTAGGCGGCGATTGGGCATACGTAATACGTGCTCCATCTTTATCTGATGAGCCTTTACTGCTGCTTTGGCGAACCCAGAGCTTACTTCCGAGCATCCCGAGCGCCCAGTTATGTATTAAATGCTTTCATTTTGCGTTGCCAGATCGTGCCCAACAAAGAGCTGGATAGGAAAACACGGTGTTCTAAGGTAGGCGGCGATTGGGCATACGTAATACGTGCTCCATCTTTATCTGATGAGCCTTTACTGCTGCTTTGGCGAACCCAGAGCTTACTTCCGAGCAGTTCCACTATATACTTGCCACAGCAAGTTAAGGCAAGCTGTAATAAGCACACAGCCATGATCAAATAGCTCAAGAGGCTTGAGCAGCGGTGGATAAACGAAAAGTTTGACGCAGAAGAGAGTGCTGGTAGTTCAGGTTGTTCAGTCACGAAGAGACTAGACATTACCGTGGTGTGACGGTTTGCGCACCTCAGCGATTCATTGAGCTATACTGGAGAGTGTCGCACGACACTCACAGAGTCTCTCATACCAGGTTGGTCAATGGTTAGAGGTCTGACGAACACAGTCTCCTGGCCCTCCAGGTTGGGGGTTGGAATATGTGGCGACTTGTTCCGTAGAAATGGTAATGCATTTGCATTTCGGCCAAACACCGCTGCCTTGCGGTTAGGCTTTTGAGCCAAAGGCTTTGGTCGAGGACCTTAATCGTACAGCAATTCTCTGCTTCGCAGCAAGGGCAGCTTCACTTACGCGAGAAAATGTATTTGGATCGAACAAAGCAAACACGACCGATCGTCACACAAACGGACTGAAAGACGGGACCAACCGCGAAATTAGTCCAGCAAGGGTCACGTGAACGTCGGTCAATCAGAATCCACCCAACAAGATTACGCATTTAGTCAACCAATTATAAACGACAGTCATAGCTTTAGAGGCATGAATATAAATTCCTGCACATCACCATCTTATAGCTCCGCCGCTCCTAAGAGCGCACTGATGATGTAACTTCGATTGGTGACGGAATGTTTGCAAAAAAACACCAACGAGACCACGTGTAAATGAAGTATTTACAGAAAGTATAAAAAACTGTACAAATCTTTTCCTGAAATTTTGACTTCGTACATGCGTTTCATACGTTCATTCTAGGGAACGAAACAAAACTATCTACAGGAGTCATGCTGATTGTCGGAGTAGGCGTCGACCAAACAAGTTTGAGCCATTTCCAAATATTCTCGCCACAAATCCCTTTCAACGTCTTCGAACAGTGGATAGGACGAAGTTATTCGCACTTCATCGAACAACCTCTTAAGGCCAATTGATTCGGAGGATCTGTTACCAGGCACATCTAAGATACTAATCATTGAAACAGACGACGGTTGGTCGCACCACGGGTGTTTGGTGTTTGTGTTCAAAAACGGGCACATTGGCACGTCCGATCCGGAAGCAATGATCCGAACCGCTGCACCGGATTGAAGTCCGGGTAATCGAAACACTGGGTGATGACTATCGGCACTGGTCCCCGCGGAGGATTCATCGCCCAAGAAAGGGTGCAGACACTTAACTGGTATACCACGTGGTGTAAACTGTCGCCACAAGATAGTTTTGTTCGATTCCACGGATGTGCTGTCAGAATTCACGTTGTACGGACTAAGTGATTTCCAAGTAAGACGATCGTATCCCTCGTAGTTCGTACTATATCCAACGCGCGGGGAAAACATCTGAAAACCAAACGAAACATAAGCGTGGAAAATTGCGAGAATAAGAGTAAATTCATTTCAGGTGCTTTCATACTGTTTTGCGGTGTTCAATAGTGGCTCAATGTTTGGTTGAGCCATATGGTGCGTTCTCATGAAGCTGGAAAACAGGTGAAGGCAGGGAGGGGGGAATCGGCTGTATTCGTCACCACAAGCTTCCTCAGATACCGTAAATGGATAGAAAGCTTTGGTGCGAAGGAATCAATTATTGTAAGTGGGTTGGTCACTGAATGAACATCTGAAAGCTTCCAGCGGGAAAGCTACAGGAAAAGCACCTAGCAAATTCACAAACCACATACCAAGACTACATGGTTAATTGCCAGATTGTGGTCCCCCTACTTGCTCGGGATCTGGCACGAATCGGGATCAGCCGCCTACTCGCAAGCATCTATTCCGACAATAAAACCGGAGTTTGTCATTTGAGAATCGAACAAAACTGCCATTAACACAGTAGGTACGGAAGGGTGTTCACCGCTAAAATTTTCCGCCACTCTCAGATTCGACTCTGGTGGACAGGTGGATAAGTTAGTAGATCCCCTGGGTTCAATACCGCAGAGGTATCCCCCAAATTGGCTGTTGGCCTTAGTCCTAATTGAGGACACGCATGTTTTTGCAGAAACAAGAACCGTACAAGGTGGCTTTTCACACCCAATAGGTGCGATCGGAGACTTCAGATGCTCATTATTTCGATCGTATCATCGTTCTGTGTAGGATATATGTGAATACTTTCTTTAATTCAGATTCTAGTGACCTATAATGATTCTAGCCGACTTTTATCGACAGGGAAGGAACACCAATTGGAATGTAACGTGTATAATTACCCTGCTAACTAGAGGGAGGCCAGCAGGCGTGAAAATACCAGCGTTTCAAACGAATATATTTTTTATCCCGGTACATGCGACGAGTTTGTTGGGGAGCCGCTTCGGCACATGGTTACCATGCCGGCAACCAGCAGCCGTGTTGTGAAAGTGGGCGTAATTAATATGAATTAATTAATTAATATGAAGCGGCCAACTCTGCCATAGTGACTTGGTGGATCCAAATAAAGACGAAACGTGGTGGACTGATTCTCAGAGCGCTTCATATCCTGACTCTACTGCGCAAACAAAACACACCATCTTGAAATGATAGTCGAGTTTGAGTGTTTTAATGATCCGGTGGGCTACATTGGCCTGAAATCAATTCCTTAGGGTTCAACCATGCCAGGAAGGCCAACGGAGAGCAATCATACTAAGGGCAGCAAGACCCCGTACTAGGATTAATCATATTCCGACGCTGCCTAGGGGTAAATTCATACCGTCCTCCACGATTGTAAAAGCAGGAAGATGTTCCTTACAGACGACCAGCAGTCAAGTTGACAATTTAATACAACATACCGACGTTAAAGGCTCTTCTGTAGAAATTATATCAGGGATTTACTAGTGTTATGTTTGGCGTTAATGGATGGTGGCTTGGATAAGGCACATCAGCTGATGACTGACGATCACACGACCCTGAGGTAGGAAGGAACTGGAGAGGCAGCACTGAACACAAGTAAAAGACGATGTGGCTGTGGTTAAAAAGCGAACTTACTGACCAAAAGGTCCGTGGCTTGGGCTACCTGGCAGTATCCCAGTCCTCGTGCTTCCTTCGGGTGGCATGGCAGATAGGCACCGAAATGGTGTTACAGCTGAAAGATTGCTTATCTTTTACTGAACTATGAGGCTAATGGTATTTCCCAGTTGCTCAGACAGAGGAAAGGGGTTAGCTGAGGTAATCCAACTTGAGCCTAACCATGAAGCAGTGGAAAGAAGGGTTTTTCTTGAGAGCCCTGCCAATGGCTTCTGAATCTCAACATCGATTAACAGGCCAGCGTTCAATAGGGTTCCCTTATGGGAGTCTGCTCATAGCCTACGATTCAACACTATGATCCGCTCGACCAGTCCAACGGTGCAGGGAATAAAGCGTAGATGCTTAATCTTGATGCTACTGTGCAAAGTAGAAGCGTTTGGAGCCGCATCCACCTCTTGACAGGTCTCAGACATGTTAGAAATCAATCATGATCAATGCACACGGAAAAGCCGTTCATTGTTGTCATTCCGGTAAGTTAGGACCACACGGACCCCTTCTTCTGAACTGGGTTCACCGACGCGTGCGATGATATTCTTATCTTGAACATCCATACCAGATAGCTGAAATTGGCGGAGCAGTTCATTTAGATGAACGCAAAACTCTTCCATTGATGCCCTGGGGTTGTGGTATGCTGGTGCATAGACCTGAGAGACAGACATGTTGTGTGTGATGCCTATTTGAAGACCCATCTTATAAAACGCTTCTAACCTAAGTTACAAAGTCAGGTGTTGACTGATGTCCTGTGGACGACAGACGGCATAGTGAGTGAGTCAAATCCGACATCTGCAGTCAACGATGTTGACCCTATCAAACCTTGAAAGCATGCGGTTTACTGTAGATTGTATTGTCATAGTTGGTCAGTGGGCGTGCTCGTGTGTTTCCAAACAGTAGGGGAGTCTATCGTCCAAGAACATAACCCATAAGATAGCCGGGTTCTTCACTGGAGGAGGGCCTTCAAATTTTGCACAGCTAAGTGGGATATGTTTACACAGAATGGTTAGACAGCGACGGCAACATGGTCGTTGGCGATCTTATCCGCCTAATTAACCAGACCAAGTTCGTGTTTGCGCCGTCTTTTAAATTTGGAATCGGGCTTTTGCTAGCTTCCGTAAATGGACAAGTAGTAGACCGTGCAACAGGTTATAGAGCCAAACACTCGACTTCGGCCATTCGATTTCGTGAAACACCACCACCAAAAGATAATGAACAGGAATTCTCCAACACAGACTACAAAGTAGCAGTTCTTCTGGAAGTATTTCAATGGAGTGCAAAGGGCTTTACTCATTCCCTAAGGAACGCATTCCTGATCATGCTGAGGTATCTGACGCTAGAGAGCTAATAACACACTCATACATGTGTAGCTTTGTCGTAAGAGGAATGGACAGCCTGAGTATATCGCTCAGTTGTATACAAAACTGGTGTGCATGGCCCGCACAAACAGCTCTGGCGGTATTTATGAAGACAAATGTGTGACATCCCGAATAATGGTTCACATAAATCCTAGGAACGTTCGCACTGATTATTAGGTTTGTGGAAATCACAAATTCGAATGATAGTTTTAAGTTGATAAAAAGTAATGGTCACGCAGCTGTAACACCCTTTCCGTGCCTAGCTACCATGCCATCAGTAGGAAGCACGAGGGATGGGGTACTGCCAGGTTACCCAAGTCTAAACAGAAGTGCAGAGGCAGAGGTCGGGTTGGAACCACGGGACTTCCAGCCAGTGAATTCGCGCTCTAACCACTGAGCCATCTCAGCCCCTCGTACGGTGATACTAATGTCATGCAAATAAGCAATTTATTTCAGCTTTCAAAGAGAAATTAAGAAACTACGTCAACCCAGTTAGATGTGAGTGGGCCATCAAGCTGTCCAAGTCTACTCATGAAAACCGCAACCGAACACTGATGGAGTCCTTTCGAACGACCAGAATATAGTGTTATCTGTAGTCCACGTCCTCGAGGGGACAAAAACATTTTTAAACGACTGCGCAAAGTAGTTGACAACTTTTTGAAATATGTAGCGGAGAAAAATAGTTCGACATTTTGGCACTTACACGTTTTCCATGTAACTGCTGACCCGTTGTGATGAATTCATCCAATGAAACACCTCCGTGGGAGCGTTCCAATCGCATCCAGGTTGTGATGGCATCCAAAGTGGCAGCAACCAAACCACTCTTAAAACAGTGATCAGTAGCGTCGTTGAAAGAGGATAAGTCGAACGGCAACCAAGCTCCACGAGTAAGATGATTCCCGCAGGGTTCAAGGTGAACCAACAGAGCCAGTTGATTGGCCTTGGCGAGTAACTGGCCTTTCCGGTCAAGCGAGGAAAGTGCCGAGGTATGATAAACAGGAACAGCGAGAAGAGCACGTTTGGGTAGCTCTTCGTCCATGTAGTCCAAAAGACGTGAGGCTATACCGGCGAAGGCGCCTTCTCCATCGACCAGCATCTGAACTCCGCTGAGAAGAGAACATCGTTCAATTTTACGGCGAAATTGATCTTCGAACTCGTCGGAAAAAACTTTTCCAGGAGACAGTATGTCGACACCCTGTATAGAAGGTGGGAGAATGTTCCCACTGTTAATCCTAGGTTACAGAAGGAATGTGGATGAGTCGGTGGATGACACCAAAAACCAATGATAGCGACGAAGTAAACACATGAGAAAACAACCTTCAAGCTTTGTAAGTTTCGTAGAAGAACGTCTTACCGACACCAGAGAACGCTAGTGTAGTCTCAATGATCTGTCCTACTCGTTAGAGATCCATTTGGTTTCACGGTCCTATCGGGACCAACTGCTGCAAAGATTGAGTATGAGTTCGGCTGTTACCGTGGAGGACACTGAATTCGTCGGTCAACATCTACTGCGCTTATGCAAACAAAGCCACGAGGAAACCCTCTTTAGGAAAACGCACTCCATAAACCGAAGAGATAGCCCCCGATTTACATTACCGTGAAAGTTTCCTCATAACTGGCTCATGCTAAACAGCCGAGGGAATGTTATCCGACTCTTCTTGACTGAATTTGTTACGTTAGCTGAGGATGCGCACAAACATCAGTCTCTGAAAAACCTTACAGTTGAGATTGGGATTAAACGCTGTGAAACGGCTTCTCCAATGCTTTTGATAACTGATGGTTCATCGGGAAGCCAGTCGTTCTCTTCGGAAAGTTCATGGTTTCCCGAGTGCGAAGCACTTAAGGGCTGATTAATTTCATTCCTTCCCTAAATGCATCGCTGTTTTTGGGGCGTTGTATTACCGCCCGTAAGACAAGCCAACCAAAACATGTATGGCACGGATGTCAACCTTAACCAGTAAGTTTGCCTAAGTCGCTGAACGACGGATTATTCCTGTAATAAGCCTTACAGCAGACATTCAAGAACTGTCAGTCGTAGCCAAATTTACTGAAATCACTGGCGAAAGTATAAAAAACGGCAAAAAACGAAGGCCATATATCTATTTAAAGCAACCCAACAACAATAGCGACTGACCTGGAAAAAGGATGTCACGGAAATGTCAGCATGTCCAACGCGAGTAGGCAAAGGTTCAGGGATGACGCAAGCAATATCTTGTTCAAACCAGAGGTGTCGGGCAGCTGGTGTGAGACAAGAAGTCCAGTAACGTGAACGAATGGTCTTAGAATTGGTCCTCTGAACAGTATCCGATCTGAATACTCTGTCAATTTTTCCACTCCATAAAGAGCAGTCCACTGAGTCAGGTTGTGTAACCCAATCAGAAGCAGCACCGAAATCAATCATATCGTGCCAGTCGACAGCCAACAGCCTTGGTCTGCTGGTACAGGCCAAACTCTCGAACAATACATTAGCATCGAAAACAGATGCAGCAGGATTGAGAGAGCTGGACTTTGAGGTAGCTGGCAAGGTCGCTTGCTGGAGATTCCAAAAATGGACTCCAATGAAATTACTCAGAGTTCCTAGCTGCAAGGTGATGACTTCCCTACCCTCGGAAGCTGGAACGTCAGACATCCTGAGGGATCACGCAAGAGTTCTGGAAATGCTATTTACGACAGTGAGATGACGTCCGGAAGAGAGAACTAGCAACCTGACAATAAAACAAGATGGAAGGGTGAGAGACAGGTTTCAATGGATAACCTCTGCCCACGTACAAACTTGTGCCTGAATTTTCATGAAATGGGCTGTCAGCATAAGAGCACCATCGAGAGCTTCAAGCCCCACGACGAAGAGGATGAGTGCATCTGTAGTATTTATGAAGCACCAGTGGTGTTAGTTCGGAATTCAAGCGTTTGTGTTGTGCATTATGGATAGGAAGCGCTGAATTTTCCTTTCAGTTGTAGCTCGATGACAGAAAGTGACAGAAAACGTCTGTACCAGTTTAGCTCTGCGTGTATCACCAAGCCAGAGTTCAAAGTACAATGAATGCAGACCAGAGCTGATGAGATTTACTTGGCGTCAGCTGTACCTTCCAGATCTGCGAATTCACAATTGCGATTGTTGGTGACGTGGACACCCTCACGTAGGCATTTCCATAAACTTAACATCATGGAATGCAGTTAGGAAAGTGTGCAAACTTTCCTAAGCCTAGGCTGTTCCACCTATTCTAACGTGTCTGCACAGCCACCGGAAACTCAAGTACTATGAGGGCACTGTGGATGGGAATAACATACATCAGGGTGGTCCAGTATTCTAGGGTAAACAACCGGAAGTAAAGGTAGCGTTCCATGCAGATCAACGCTTTTGAGTGAGTCGTAGAGCTTGTTTCTCATGCCTCCATCTCCCTTCACAACATAAGAGGTAGTCGGGGACCCATACACCATCGGTAATAAAGCTGTAAACGTTCTCGACGGTCATGCATTACCTACTTCACTTTATGTCAGCGTTCTTCTGTAGGAGGATGTGTGCGCTCATCATCATCGTCACTGACAGCTGTAATAACCGCGGACTCGTCGTACGGTGGTTTTAGCCGCCGGAGTTTTGTTCACCGATGATTTAGGGGGAGGGGGAGGTTGCTGCGCATTGCAGGCGGGTGCTGATAAATTGGTGCATAAATCACTGTCAGTGGGCTGTCAAGTGGGGGGTTGGTTTGAAAAGGAGCTATGTATTGAAGGCAATAGCTTGGATGCACGAGCGCCATTGAGAGTGCGACTGGGCCGTATCTGACAATATCTCTAGCCATTGATGTGGCCCGTCTCGGGGTCCCCATCCAGGAAGACGACAGTGACCAGCGCAGCTGAGTTTGCTGGTGATGGCTTTCATACTTCGTGCCAAGTCATTGTTTGACCGCCTCTAGATCTCTTCCACCCTTCACGTGGTTGTGCAAAAAGAGCCCTTCGAGGAAGTCGGTCGACTGGCATATGCAACACGTGGCCAAGCCAACGCAACCTGTGCAGTGTGATCAGTTCATCTATCGAGGGTGAGTTATTTCTCCCGAATACCATTCGACGTACTTCA